TCCCCCCCATATCATAACATATCTATTACAATTCCCTTGACTCCACTCCCACACTATACTACACGTCCCGTGACTATATATGTATTCAATTATAGTTGACATACAGTGTTATACAACATCAGCTTCAGGTGTATAGTGCAGTGATCAAGCCTCTACCCCATCCATGAAGCGGTCTTCCTAAGAAGACGTGACCATCTGACACTCTACAAAATATTTACAACATTAATTATATTCCCCGAACTGTCTTTCATATCCCTGTGGCAATATTGTAGTTACCTATTTATACTGTCTAATCCTTTCCCCTTCTCCCTCATCCCCACCCCCCTCATAACTAGTAGCCATCAGTTTTTCCTCTATATGTCTGAGACTGTTTCTGTTTACTTTGCTCGTTCATTCAGTTTTATAGATTCCACTCTGGGCTCTCTATTCTGCTCCACTAGTCTATATGTCTGTTTATATGGCAGTACCATGTTTTGATGATTATAGCTATGTAGTATATATTGAAATCATGTAGTGTTATGTCTCTAATATTGTTCATTTTGTTCAAGATTGTTTTAGCTATTATCAGTCTTTTGTGGTTCTGTATGAACTTTAGGATTGTTTATTTCTGTGAAAAACACGATTGGAATTTTGATGGAATCTGTAGATTGCTTTGGGTAGTATGCATATTTTATTTCTTCTGATCCATGAACATGGGACATCTCTACATTTACTTGTGTCCTCAGTTTCATTAACATTTTGTAGTTTTCAGTGTATAGGTCTTTTACCTCTTTAGTTAAATTTATTCTAAGGTTTTTTATTTATGCTATTGTAAATAATTGTTTTCTTAATTGCTTTTTCAGATAATTTGTTAGTGTATAAGAAATGTAATTGATTTTTGAATGTTGATTTTGTATCCTGCAGCTTTACTGAATTTATTAGTTATTTTAGGTGGAGTCTTTAGGGTTTTCTATATATAGGATCATGTCATCTGCAAACAAAAAAATTTACTTCTTTCCAATTTGGGTACCATTTATTTCTTTTTCTTTTCTAATTACTCTGGCTAGGACTTCCAGTACTATATTGAATGGAGGTGGTGAGAGTGGGCATCGGTGTCTTGTTCCTGATCTTAAAGTGAATGCTTTCAACTTTTTACTGTTGAGCATGATGTTATCTGTGGGCTTGACATATATATAATATATATATATATACATACATACATATATATATATATATATATATATATATATGGCCTTTATGATGTTGACATATGTTCCTTCTATACCCACTTTGTTGAGAGTTGGTTTTGTTTTTTTTAACACGAAAGGATGTTGAATTTTGTCAAATGCTTTTTTGCATCTATTAAGATGATCATATGGTTTTTTTTATCCTTCATTCTGTAATGTGGTATGTTAATGTTTATTGATATGAGTATGTTGAACCATTCTTGCATCCCAGAGATAAATCCCATTTTATCATGGCATATGATCTTTTTAATGTGTTGAATTTGGTTTGCTAGTATGTTAAGGATTTTTTGTATCTATGTTCATCAGGGATATTGATCTGTAATTTTCTTGTAGTGTCCTTGTCTGGCTCTGGTATGAGGGTAATGCTGACCTCATAAAATGAGTATGGGAGTGTTCCCTCCTTTTCAGTTTTCTGGAAGAGTTTGAGAAGGGTTGGCATTACTTCGTTAAGTGTTTGGTAGAATTCACCTGGAAAACTATATGATCCAGGATTTTGTTGGTTGGGAGATATTTGATTGCTGATTTAATCTCCTTACTCATTATTGGTCTGTTCAGATTTTCTATTTCTTCATGATTCAGTCTTGGTAGGTTGTTGTATATTCCTAAGCACTTACCCATTTCTTCTAGGTTATAAGTGTGTTGGTGTATAAATAAATGTTCATAGTAGTCTCTTAAAATTCTTTGTATTTCTGTGGTAGCAGTTGTAATGTTTCCTTTTTCTTTTATAATTTTATTTATTTGAATCCTCTCTAAGGGTTTGTCAATTTTATTTTCTCAAAAAACCAATTCTTGGTTTCATTGATCTTTTTGTATCTTTTTTCAAATCTATTTGAATTATTTCTGTTCTGATCTTTATTATTTCTTTCCTTCTAATTTTGAGTTTAGTTTGTTCTTTTTCTAGTTCATTGAGGTATAAAGATAAGTTGTTTATTTGAGGTCTGTTTTTTTTTTAAGCATTTTATTGGGGAATTGTGGGAGGGGAACAGTGTTGGGGAATCGGGGAAGGGAACAGACAAGTTGCTGTCCTTTTGTTCTTCAGTCTAGGTGTGGAGGACATCGCTTCACTGGCTCATGTTGGTATTATCATTGTGCTCTTCCCGGGTGAGGTAGATCAGTCGCCAGCCTCTGGATGGCCACTCACGGTGGCTCTTGGCAGCTCACACTGGCTGCCGGCCACACACAGTAGCTTAGGGCAGCCCACTGCAGCAGGGGCTGCAGCCTACGCCGTCGCCGGCGACTCACGGCAGCCCAGCTCCAGGTCGAGCTGTTGTTCA